TTTTTAACGAAACTATAAAACCACATTAAATATCTTTATATATATATATATTATAATTTCGTATACGATGGTTGTGTCTACTGTCTAGTGTCTACCAAACTACTCGACCGATTTTCATCAGGCTATAATYAATATTCGTGATTGATCTAACTCATAAGATAAGTTATTTTTTACCTCAATGATTTTGTCTCTCGATTTTTTTACTGAATTAAGCAAAAATTTTGAGGTTTACGATGGAAATTGTTGTTTAAAAAATTAATTAGCATAAATTYAATAATTAACATAAATAGTTTCTAATGGTWACAGCTTACAGTATTATTATAATAAATTGTTTCAAAATATTTTATGCAATAATTATTTATTATTTATTTTCCTCAAATTGTGATTGAAATTGATATCGGTCATACTTTAAAGTAAAAAATAAAGTTCTCGCATATTAGACCCTGGTGTATTACAATCTGAACTTAGCTACACTGAAACCGAGTTACACGAATTTGTATTWATTGATGATTTTTTCCCAAGCGAAGTTAAGTTATACGCAGTTATATCAAAAACCATCGGATGGGCTATTGTATATAATCCACCGTATAAGTTGGATTAAGTAAAAATGACAAAATTGATTTAACTGACTCACTACTCACTAGTCATTCAATGTAGAGCCTAAATAATAATTTGATGCTTGCAATTTTCACGATATTTTCAAAATTTTTCATTTCAAAGTGAAGTATTTTGAGATTCAAGATRGTCGATTAAAATTGAAAACGAATTGAACTAAATTTAAACCGTATAAAGTTGGTATTTTTAAAGGGCACAGGATCAGCTAGTACCTTTATATTTTTGAATCAAAACTTAATTTTCTGTTGACAAATTGTTTTGAAATTTCGTCAAATTTAAAAGATCATGAATTGTGTGTATATGAAAATGATATTTAATACCAATCAAAARTGACCATATTTATTGTAGGTAGACATTATAAGTATCATGTTTGTTTTTATTYATAAAGACATCTATTTTCTGACCTTATTCGTATTTATCAATTTCTATTTAAACAGCAGGGGTACTCTACGATTGCAGGTCACGGGTCCTCTTTATATTCTTTCTTCTTCTTCTTCTTGTTAATTAAATAGTTTTTTAAAGGTTTTTTCATTTAGACCGCTGTCTACTGCAAATACTTTTAGAACCAGAATTTATGGATTTTTTCTCTTTATTATACGGAGAAATTTGTTTGACTACTTTGACTTTTTATTATATTTGCTCAATTGAAACGAGTACCATTCAAAATKTCCATTAAACCATTGGCTGTTTTCTGGGKCCAATTCTGAATAAATTTAGTTTTTGTCTCCGTTTTTTTCTTTATCAATGTACCAAACTTTTGTGGGATGATATATATAATTTTAAACGAAATATTAAAAATTAATGAGTGGTTAGTACCTAAACCAATATGGTACTAAACTATAGTATCTATATTATATATATTGTATACCTATATATACCTATATTACGTGACTTAAATGAGATATAAATATCAAAAWTTATYATATTTATTACGTTCAATGATCATACGATAATGAAAATTTGAATTCAGTCGCTTGGTTTTCGGCTTTTCGCTTTATACGAGTATATTAATTATCATGGTAAAAAAGAGATATCTTGAATATTACAATAATGTTTAGCATTAATATTTTAAAATTAATAGTATTGATATGTGCAATTTAATAGATTCAAAAAATGATTCATGATTATAACAATGGTTAATTAATTAATGAAGTATTTTCTTAACAGCCTATGAGTTATGATTTTTAGAAAAGTTAAATAAGAAATAAGATGCCACATATTGTTCTAATATACGTAGTAGGTATTAGAATAATAGACTAAATTGTATATGTATTTTCTTTTAATCGCATAAAATACCTAGGCTGCAGTGCTCAATTTTTCAATATTTTGATTTTAAAACATAAATAATGTTTTAYATACTAATATATTATTTTATTTTAAGTATATGATCTTAGTTCAAGGTATAACTCTTATCTGATTATAAGTTATTTTACTTTTTTAAATTTTAACCTAGAGCTCATCGCGTTGGAAATACGAAGCAAAGTTTCATTTTCATCTGTATAATAATATGTGACGAGTTGGTAAACGAAAATATTTGGTATTCACCCTCTTGTTATAAATACATCATGATATATAATATATTGGTAAACATTATTAGTTGAACAGTTTATATTTATGTTACGTATTTTTTACAAATAATAATAATATTATTTCTCAAATGTCATGTTTGCATGTATAATTTTTTGGTTTTTCTCTTCACTAATGAGATTCATTAAAATAAGTGAATTTCGTATTAAATAAAAACGTATGGTTTTGAAATA